GGACGAGATAAGCGTTGACTTTGCTGAACTCTCAACAGGGGACTACCTCTTGGTGGTATCTGACGACTACTCACGCTATCCAATTGTTGAAGTTATTCGTTCAGTGGCAGCCCAAGCTGTAATTCCTAAACTCCAACACATCTTTTCACAATTTGGCATTCCAGGAATTCTGAAATCCGATAACGGTCCGCCGTTCAACTCCGAAGCCTTTGCAACTTTCGCCGCTAACCTGGGATTTACCCACAGAAAGATCACTCATTATTGGCCAAGAGCCAATGGCGAAGTAGAGCGGTTCATGAGGACGGTAAAGAAGATCGCGAAGATTGCACTTACACAGCAGAAACAATGGCGGGAAGAACTAACCAACTTCCTTCGGAACTTCAGAGCCACACCACACAGCTCAACTGGAAAGGCCCCAGCAACAGCCTTCTTCAATCGAAGCTACCCGATGTACGCACCAATGCACGGGACCCGGCCGAGATCCAAGAGACGGACCAGAAAGCCAAAAGAAAGATGAAGAAATATTCTGACTCGAAAGCATACGTCAAGCCATCGAGAGTACGACCTGGCGATACCGTGGTCCTAAAGCGTGATCCCTCACATTGAAAGTCCGAAACCCCGTATGAACCAAAGCCATACAAAGTAATCAGCTGCAAAGGCTCGATGGTAACCGCCACGCGAGGAGAAAAGACAGTGACCAGAAACTCGTCGTTCTTCAAGCTCGTCAGACAACAAGATGAACCAACGGAAGGCGACTCGACCGATGGAGAACATGATAACCTCGAAGATACGGACGGTGAACCGGACAACATTGCACAGGCTCAAGAACAGCAACAAGAACCTCACCGTTATCCTCAACGCGTTCGAGCGCCACCAAGACATCTAGCAGACTATGCATAGCGCTGAATAAGGAACTTATTGTCGGACTAATAAGCTCCCAGTACTTGTCACCGTGTCTGACAGACTGTATTAAGACATGCATGCATGTACTTTACGAATCACATTGAGTGAACCTTATATGACAAACACTTAGTTGACATTTGACTTTAAATTTGGGTTCTTTTACTAGTTATATTTAGTGTGACTTTAGTACGTCTCTAAATCCCAGCAAGGGAGGGATGTAATATCCTATGTTATCACGTGGGGGGACACGTGAGAAGTGGACGGATATAAAGGAGAGAACATGGAGACTCGAGAACAAAACTAGCTTGTATATTTGATGTTCAAAGAGAATATTATAGCTTTGGGAACAATTAATAAATATGTGCACCCCTGGTACAAACTATAACCACAGATAGACAATTCATGCTTACGGCGAGGCCTTCGGCATAGCGTTAGCCATAGCATGTATCCCATAATGTTTGGTAATGACTGCGATGCAAATCATTGATACTGTACTAAGGAACACTGACGTGCCAATTACGCCACGATAACCAAATCTGTAATAGAATTAAAGATAGTTTAGAGCAGTTGGCGTTAGTATATCATTTTCCCAGCTAATCAGTCATGGTTTTTCTAATTGCCCGTATCGCTAATCAAGTTATTATTATTCCAATGACTTTTTTCAGAGCTGTTTTCCGGCCGTTAACAGGCCCAAAAAAATCGATCATGAATTGAGTTCTGATCTGAAACGTGTTTGTGTTAAAATTGTCGCCTGCAATTCATTTCTGAAGACAAATTCAAAGCAATATTTAGCTGTTCTAAAGCCATGGTGTAATGGTTGAATTGTGAAACGTCCGGCGCTTTCGCAGAGACACCAAGCTGATTAGGTAAACTCACTCTTCGCTTCAAAACGGACCCCCATCAAAAAATCCTGAAATACAATATAATCCTTGCTTTCGTTCAATTTTCTCCAATTTGGTTTTTCTTAGAGGATACTGAATTCATCTACATAGACTTCACAATTTTCGTACAAAGAAAAATAACCAAAAGAAAATATACATGCATGAGCATAATCATTATTTTATGCACCTACCGAATAAAGAGATAAATAATAACAGGAGTGATGGCAAAAAACTGCATGTCTACGGCAAGATACCATGTCCATCGCATACACTAAAATATGAACAGTGTGTGACAATTACGCAAACCTCTTTCAAATGTTAATTAAACTGAACTACTTTATTTATATGGATATACTAGCTGGTTTAGCCCATTTATTTAATTGATATTTATTGAGAAACAAGACAAAGATATAAAATCCTAGCTATAAGACCCTGACTCTTACCGAATTCGAAACGACATTTGTAGGATAAAAATTGTTAATATACAAGAGGTTTGTCCACCAATAATCATCACAATTTGGTTCGTCTACATGGCGTTGCCATAAAGGACCTTTATCAACAAACGGTTCCAATTGGACAACAAATAATATTACAAACATCATTGTTGGAGTGAGCCTTGGGAAATAGATAAAAAAACTGACTAAATAAAACCTAGGTCAAACGCGAATGAGAGTTGACGAGAGTTGAGAAGCGAGAGTTTGTATTGAGTTTTCTTAACTCTAATGTCTTCGTCAAAACGAGAATGACAGTTGACGAGATTTGACTGGATATTACTGCGCATATCAAAAACTCTCATAAACTCTCAACAAAATTTAAATCAGTTCAAAGTTGATGCATGAGAGTTCATGAGGGTGCATAACTGCATGAGAGTCGATAAGAGTTAGCGGTCACACGCGCGCGAGCGAGAGTTATAAGGGACCAATCACATGGAGAACTTTCGACCCCGGGGTTGAACTCAGCCCTGTTAACTGGGTTGAAATTTTGTGCGATTACATGGACGGTTTCAACCCCTGCGTTGAAAGGCTATACTACATACGTTCTTTGCATCGATTCCCGGAAGTAAAAAAAGCTTTCGTTTTGTTTTCTTGTAATAAATAGTCACTACCACGCTTGCTCGAATAACTCACGATAATTTCAGCCCTAGGTGAAGCAGGGTTGAAATTTCAACCCCGGGTTTGAACTCTGCCCTGGGTTGAAAATTTTGTCATGTAATCGCGCGTTTGATTTTGATAGAGTTTTGTATAACAAACAAGGCTGAACCCGGTAAACAGGACTGAGTTCAACCCCGGGGTTGAAAATGGTCCATGAAATCAGCCCCTAACTTTCGTCAAACCTCATTCCGACAATCACGTTTGACCGGACCTTTAATTCCTTTAAAAAAATCAGTCGGATAAATGCGTGTTTTTAAGTTTTATAAAAACTGGATTACAAATTCGCGGATTACAAATATATATAGAAATATTCTACACTACCTTAGATAACGGTGTAAATAATACTTTCCCCAGTTTATCCCTTCGTTGTTGCTTTTTAATCTCTTCATAACATTATACATCAACAAAAGACCACTGAAAGATATATATATATATATATATATATATATATATATATATATATATATATATATATATATATATATATATATATATATATATATATATATATATATATATACATATATATAAAGGCACATTAAAGTTCATGATGAAATACTAAAATCTCGACACTGTATTGCCAAACCGGATAAAACCATTGCCAAAATCCACGTTTTTCAAGCTTTCTTCAATAAATTGATTCACAGTTGATTTGTATGATCACGGTTAAACTTTAGAATTAATAAACAAACGGGTTTTTATCAATTGTGAGGTGCATATCCGTAGAGTTTAACAGAATATTTATTGCCTGCAACCCTTTTTACAACGGTTGAAATTATAAGAATCACTATCCGTTTGATCGCGCTATCCGGCCTCGCGGAACAGGTTATTTACATGCAGTCGAAACTCCAAATTTGTCTATCAGAAGAGCATGTAGTAACAAACAAAAACGGAACAAATCATAGCTTACCTCAGAAAGAAAAACGTGTCCACAGCAGGATAGCTGTTTATAACCACCATCATTGAAAAACTTTCAGTTTCCTGACCAAGTTCAAAAATATTCTCTAGGAGTTTAATTGATGAATATGCTTTAAATGTAATTTTCTGATTCAGGTATTTCATAAGAAAGGAAACATTAGTAGATATTCGCGTAATCATATGTGCGGCTTTGTGTTGACTGAACTAAACTAAGCTATAAAGAACACATGCAGTGGAGAATACTTCGGGAAACAAGCGGGGGTGGGGTGGGGGTGGGGTGAGGTGTGCTGGGAGAGTGAATTAGGTTACTAATATATATAACCATCTTTCGTAGTTTTCAATTTAATGCAATATGTACGTATACTTTGATTTATTACTTATAAATTATTGCTACTGCTTTATTACGCAGTCATACAAAGATTGGCAAAAATAAATGGAGGAGTCCCGCAAGGCACTCTATTGGGATGGACCCTTTCCTTGCATGGTCATAGTCAATGACCTGTTTGAAGATTCGAAAAGTCGTTAGAAGTAATTATGTCGACGATAGTACCGATGTTGAAAGTATCGGACCAAATTTGGGATTCTACCATTACGATTTGGTGAATTGTTTCTCTATTTGAACTGCTAATAATAATATGAAGCTAAATACTTCAAAATGCAAAGAGTTGATTTTGCTAAAGATGAAAGGTATTTTCATCTTTGACTATCGATGGTATTCTAGTAAATCGCGTCGAGCACGCGCTCGGATTTTAGGCTTTACAATTCAAAATAATATGAAGTGGAACCTGCACGTGCATGGGCCAAGTACGTGCTCGGGTTATTAAAACGATCTAGTGACACAATAACATTGATTATTGTGTACATTACCGTATTAAGGCCCAAATTTGAATACCATGATCAAGTTGTAGAGAAGCACTATATATTATGGCATTCCTACATTAGAAGACCGACGTGAAAGCCTAAAATTTTTACAATTTTTTATTATGAGAACTTTGCAATTCGATCTTTGAGTTACAAAATAAATTCATTATTTAAATCCCCATAATGATAATAATAATAATAATAATAATAATAATAATAATAATAATAATAATAATAATAATAATAATAATAATAATAATAATAATAATAATAATAATAATAATAATAATAATAATAATAATAATAATAATAATTTAACTATAATTCAAAAGGTTTCACAAGTTATTGTGGGGAGGTGATAGTTGTCCTTCTGATCCTTATGTTGTCCACCACTACTTGTAACTCCTTTCCTAAATCAACGGTCACAGTTTAACATACCTAAAGTTCCGTCGACCGCGGAGAAAATATAAACATGTCCCAGTATTATCCAGAACAAAGACATGACTCGCATGCCATACAATGACGTCACTGCCCCGGGTGCAACATCAGTTTTCAAAACATCGCGAGTATTACGTAGCAACGAGAAGCATAGAAAGATATCTACCAAGAGACCTGAAATTTTAAACTAATGTTAATTAACTCAGAATAAGGGAACTGGAAGTCGGAATGTACGTTTTTCTTCTGCGGGTAGTTACAAAACATGCGAGCTCATGACAAGGGTTTATTGTGGATGAAAGTTAACGAGCAAAAACAATAAGACCAAAGATTTAAGACTTATATCCATAGTTTTCAAACGGTTATACAGTTAAATATATTGTAACACACCACTTCTCTCGGTTTACAATATAATTCTGACATCCCACAACTTCTCAGCAGCCCTGGATGCAGATAATATAGGTTTGCTTGTAGAAAATGTACTTTGACCATTGAAATACCGTATCCTGCAACTGTTAATTTTCTTGTCTTACAAGTGGAAAATGCGTGGGACTTACTATTTGATTTTAATTGCGGACTATCATTTATTGCATCTTCCGCGGTGGGTTTAATTTTGTCGTTTGTTTGTCCCGTCTCCAGTTTTAAACTGTCAGAAACACCTACAAAAAAATTTCGTGTTTGTTAAATCCACAAACAATGGTTACTACCTACCTAACAATCAATCTACATATCTGCCCTCCTACCAATCCGCCTACCTACCTATGCCTAACCAACCCACCTCCTTACCCACCAACCAACCAACCAACTCACGCACCAACCTACCCTCCCCCCTAACTAGCTACCTGCACACTCACGTAATCGCACCATCTACGTACCAACCCCCAACTGACTATAACTAACATGAAGGTACTAGCAAAAAATAATTGTTGAAGAAATATTTACCATTTTTTTTCTTATTCCCTCGCAATAACGGTGTTGTTTCTGTAACATCGGCCTCTTTTGGTATTTCAAGACCGAAAGAACTTTCAACCGTATCTTTTTCATGTTTCAGGGCACGGTTTTGTGTTGCAATAAAATCAAATTCCTTGCCATCTTGAAAAGATTCGTGAGAAATTTCGATTACTGTTCCAATTGCACAGCACACCAGAATAATGCAACAAAATATTCTTAAAAAGAAGGTAAATATATAGATTAAGTAGCATCTCAACTACATGAAGAGGATTACGAACACTGAAGAGTGTACATGTGTACCTGAAGCCGCGTTGGGTGCTTAGACAACTCATATAATTAAAACACTCGACTTCAGTGTCGATATATTGGTTGTATTTGTCATTTGACCCAGAATAAGGATTCCTCCTCCCCCATTCACCACCACCTAACGTTGGAACTGTCACTTTCCTTCCTATCAGAGAGTGGTCTACAGAGTAAAATTGATACTTGAAAACTTACACCTTTGACCAGTGGTGAAGCTGAGCCCAATTATTTAGTCATGTTATTGGGTCATGCACAACTAAGGCGTTCTCGGGGCCTTGTTACGATGGAAAATGTTCAATTTTGTGAGTCTTAAATGGCCATTTCCTGTGTTTTTATTGTAAAATACTACTAATGGAGCAGAAAAAATTCTGTATTTGAATCTTTTTAACGTTTTACATCCTATTTCGATTAATCTCGTATTACAGTCCTCTGAACTGTAATAGTGCCCCAAACTGTAATGCTCTCGTATTACAGGGGCATCTTGATCCATAACGTGTACGAACAATTCCTATTACAATGTTCTAAACTGTACTGACTGCAGGGAGTCGTCACCCTAAAGTATTAAGAAAAGCTAACTCTCAATTATGTAACTGCTAACTCTGAAGCACTCTCATTCTCGCTTGATCCAGGTTTATATATGTTTAGTTATTAGAGTAGTACTCCTTACATAGTGAGCATAGCGGCTGTAGTATAAGATGGCTCTTCATAACAGCTGAGATCAACAACACGAATACTTGGAAAATAGCGATGGGTCACTATGAAAATATCACAATAACGATATAATATCGAATTCACTAACAATGACAATACTAAACAGGTGCACAAAAGAGATACCTTTAATTTTGAAATCAAGCTATCCTTCAAATTTGAACCCACGAATGCGTAAAACAGAATAGAAGTAAATTTTATTGACGACGAAGTTATTGGCTTTATCCAACTGATGAATTATGGGTTGAATAATATTTTAACGCAGCGCGTAAAATAGTAAAAATTCGCTTCTCTGTGGTCATTTCAACAATTTTATTCAAACTGATGATATGAATGATTAGTAATTTGATCAGTTTTATACAGTTATACTCCTTCGTATACGATTAGAAGCAATTTTAAATTCCCAGGAGCATAAAATCTTGAGCTTAACAACAATAGCTTGATTTCCACAGGACTCGTTTTTTATGCATGCACTTTGGAGTAAAACTTATAACACTCTTTAAAATAAATGAGATTTTAATGGTCACCAACCGTTCTTAATATAATTTCCAACAACAGTAGAAACATCTGATTTATTACACGCATCAGGAATACAAATTCCGTACGAGATAGGGAAAGTCTAAAATGATGGTATATAAGAACTTTTCGACTGAAATATTGATAATACTGGGAGTCGATTTGATTTCGCGTCTTCTGAAAGCAACAAATAAACTAACTTTATTTACAATGGACACTGTATGCATATATCAGGCAAATATTATGTTGCAAATGACATTGTCAGGATGGATTTAAATTTTAAAAGGCCTCTGACTCTGCAATTGTTTGATTCTGCGAGTTACAACTTCGAAACTGCCTGGGAAAGTGTCATTACACCTTCTTTGGAAAATGCGCTTCTATTATACTGCATAGCCCACCCTGGTTGTTTTGCCAGCCCGCGGCTAAGGAGACTCGTGTAAACACCGGGTGGAATTTGTCTGAATGGTTTTTGCTGCCCTAAAAATGCAACTATAGGCCCCCCTGGCATGAGTCGAACCTGCGACCCTCCGAGTTGCAGTAAGGGTCATTAATTAGAGACCTATCTTCTGGATTGAATAGTCACGCGTTGTGACGGGGGGCATTTCAGGCTCTAAATTGTAAAATATATGCAGGTTTGATAAATGTTCCAAGTACGTTTCAACTTTAACGGAATACATGATAGTCTTGGGAAAGCATCAACAACAGCGAACCATGGTCACGTGACTCTCATGCACTCTCGTCGTAGTTTGATCAGGCCGGGCTTAAACCTCACTAGTCTAGGGTAGATGCATCATATATTTCAACGGGTTTATGCATGGATGATATACAAATTAGTAAGGATCAAGTAGAATAATTATGTCCGTAATTTTTGGCAATGTCATATTGATTCAATCGTATAAAAGCTGTATAATATTACCGTATTCGTACGAAATTTTCCCAGCACGCTGACTAGACAATATTTAGCATCAGGGATCCCTATACACTGATCAAATGCGCCAAACCATTTCCCATTTCCACTCAGAATTCCACTGCCTGGTTTACCCCAGCTGTCGAAATCTAGGACAGAAGCACGAAAGAACATGACCGTACAGTATTTATATCCTAGAAGACGTCTTGAACGACTTAAACGTTTTGTGTTAAGTGCGACTAATGTAAATACAAAAAGTTGGAAACTAGTATATATAGCAAGAAACCAAGAAAATATATAGTGTTTTAATTTGACAAATTACGTCAAATACCTGCAGTGTTCTTTTTTGCTGAATGCGTTCAAGTTTAGTCGTCTCACAGTTATACTAGACGAATTAAATGTCTGAGGCCTGTTTTATATGGCGTCATATCACCGCCAATATTCATGTATATCATGCTTTCGACATTGAAGTTAAATAGGACATTCAGCACCTACGTGCTTTCGACATTGAAGATAAATCTGACATTGAACATGCAGAACATTCAACATATTTTCGACATTGAAGTTAAATAGGACATTCAACACCTACGTGCTTTCGACATTGAAGATAAATCTGGCATTGAACATGCAAAACATTCAACATATTTTCGACATTGAAGTTAAATATGACATTGAACACCCATGTGTTTTTGACATTGAAGTTAAACCGGACATTGAACATGCCGCGAATTTAGCACCCATCACAACTTCAACGTTCAAAATATGTTGAAAAAAATTACCACATGTTGAATATTAGCGGAGTTGAACGATAGCGTCAAATCTCCGCCAATATTAATTAAGCTAACACAAGATAACCCCCCGGCCAAATTCATTCGTGTCCAGACCTCTAGAACATATCACATGACGCAAGCCGAGGATCGAATTCGCCGCATCTTAGTCTATAAACTGTGCTGTATTGGAGGCCGTATATTCACCATAATATTCGCGTATATTCGCTTGTTTGTCTTAAATTAATTGACTTTTATAGCGCAGATTGAATTGCTAGAGACGCAAAAATTATATTTTAAAAATTCCTAATAATCGCATTATAAATAATCGATACATTTTATTTAGAGTGTAATTGCAAAAACAATGCGTGCGTCAAACTGAACTTTTGCTGCGGCAGAAAGGCAGATGGTTTTCTTTATATATTAAATCGTGAGGCCATGTGGTGTAATTTGATAGTACTTGTCAATTTAGCATAATTTTGCTGCCTCGTCCCCAGTCGCTTGCTATCAAATAATTAATTAGGAAAAGACGAAAGTCTTCCCATTTTCCTTTGCGCGCTCGTCCTTAGTTGCGGGCGTGCGCCTAAAGGCGTGCGTCTTTATCGGGCTTGCAGTGCACGCGCTGATCTATATATTACCGATATTTATTTTTGATCTATATAGAGGAGCCTGCGGAGGAGGCAGATAATTTTGCGCACTTTTCTAAGTTCCGGATCCGTGAGCCCTTTAATAATTTTATTTCTCATTTACTTATACAACAATTCAAAAAAATCCTACCTGTTTACAAAACTTTTGTGTTACACACTTAATAGGTGTCTTCTTACTAATTCAATAACTGTTACACAATAAAGATTTTTGCTGTCAATTGCACTAGAATTAGCGTTTTAATAATAGCACATAATAGTTTCGTGAGAAAATTTATTTATCTTATACCATAAACTTCTGATTATGATTACGGGCTAGTATATCGAATGGTGTGAACGTTAGTAATGTGACGGGGTCATAGACGTCGGGCTTATATTCGGGGACTTATAATCGGAAGTTTATGGTATAAGATAAATAAATTTTTTCACGAAACTATTCTCCTAGTTTAAAAATTAAAAGGATGTACTATTATTAAAATGCTAATTCTAGCTAGTGCAATTGACAGCAAAAATCTCTATTGTGTAACAGTTATTGAATTAATAAGAAGACACCTATTAATTAAGTATGTAACACAAAAGTTTGTAAACAGTAGGATTTTTTGTAAACAGTTGTATAAGTAAATGACAAATAATGTTATAAAAGGCTCACGGATCCGGAAAGAAAAGTGCTCAAAATTATGCTAAATTGACAAGTACTATACTATCACATTACACCACAACGATTTAATATATAAAGAAAACCATCTGCCTTTCTGTCGCAGCAAAAGTTCACGTACGCGTTGACGCACGCATTGTTTTTGCCAGTACACTCTAAATATTAAAATGTATCGATTATTTATAATGCGATTATTAGAAATTTTTAAAATATAATCTAATAAATAAAATAATATCAATTTTTATACATTTAATAA